GAGCATCTTTTATTTTTAATTTGTGCATCTTTAGTGAGATATTTGATCATGCCTTTTGTGTGTTTTAATTGGGTTATTTCCTTATTGTTCAATTTTAGAGTTCTTTATGTATTTTAGAGACAAGTTCTACATAAGGTTTGTGTCTTGTAAATACTTTCTCCTGGTCTGCAACTTATCTTGTAATTCTCTTAACAGCCAATTTATTTTAAAGCTCTCAAACATGCTCAAAACTCCCTGAAAAGCTTGCAGACCCAACAGTGTCTCTTGGATTTTTTTTTTTTAAGTAGAAAAACACTTAGGGTGGAGATATTTGGGGGAGATGGTAGCTGTTGGGAAACCAGACACTGGGGAGTGACAGCTGCCAATCTTTCCTCCTGAAAGCCCGCCAGCTTTCAGGGCAGCCAACACCACCGTCCTCAGCTTCTCCATCCTTGAGATGTGCTTGAAGGTCCCCTCAGCTTTTCTCTCAAACCTGCTATCTCAGTGGTGATGATGGTCCCTTGCCCCTGGGTCAGAGGCCTACAGCACCCCTTGCCTGTGTCCTGGGCTCCTCATACCTACAGGATCTCACACTGTCCTCAACTTTGGCCCCCAAACTGCTCTTTCTTCCCAGTCCCCATTTCAAGATCCATCCCGTCCAGACTCAAGCTACAGGCCAGAGCCCTGGACCTCACTGCGATGTCTACCATCCCCACTCTGGTCCAATCCCAGGGCCAGACCTGTGGGTCTCCTCCTCTCAGCTCATCCTGGTCCAACACTACCCCCACCCCATCTTGCTCAGCCTTTTTTCCTCAATACCCAGGCTTAGTGTTATGCCATTAGCTTCCCCTTTATTTGCTTATTCAAAAACTACTGACAGAGCCAGACCCTGAGGTGGACAGTGCTGAGTGAAGGGCCCTAAAGCGTTCCTCAGGGCCCTCTCTTAGCTTAGTTCTCCTCTGTTCCAGATCCACACTCGCTCCCCTACGCCTCCAGATCGCTATTTTGGAGCCTGGTGGGCTCTCCAGAACTCTCAAGCGCTCTGTGCCATCCCATAGACCTCTTCTGCTCCTTGTGGCCCAAACTAACCCAGCCCTGCTGTTTTTCTTGTCATGTACCTACCTCCCCCACCAGCTGTGAGCTACTTATCAGTGGGACATGTCCTGTCACCACAGCGTCCCAAGCATCAAGCGGGAGTCTGCTCCATTATACATTTAGGAAATGGGAAGCAAGGATGAACACCTGGAAGACGGCACGCCAGGGAGATATTAGTACTGTCTGCCTCCATGCACCACCCTGCTTCTAAAATCAAAGAACAGTAGTAAATAGGCAGACCTGTAATCCCAACGCTCTGAGGGCCTGAGCCACGAGACTTCTTAAATTTGAGCCCAGTTGAAGGCTGGCGAGATAGCTCAGCAGACTAAGCACCTGCTTAGGCAAGTGCAGGAGCCCGGGTTCGATTCCCGATCCACATGCTGCGCTGGCCCTGGCATCGGGCTCCCGGAGCCAGCCACCAGAGTCCAGGTGTGGTGGCACATGCCTGTAATCCCAGCGCTGGGGAGGCTGAAAACAGGATTACTACAAGTCCGATCTGTGTAGTGAAACCCTAGGTTCAACTTCCAGTGCGGTAAAAGCCCCATTTACCCAGAAAACGGAGCGAAGTGTGGACATTTTTGCCTCTTGGGAAACAGCTGGTGGTGAGCACGACGACAACGGAAGGTGAGCGAGTGCCAACACCTCTCTGTGACCTTTTCATCTTCAGTCAACGAGACCCCTGAAGGAAGGGCGAGAACAGTAAAGAATCAGCAAGACGGCGAGCTACAGATCAGCGCCACACAGCAATCTGCCTGGTAACTGATGATGTCTCCGCCGTCGCGTTAGTGACGACAGAAGTAGGCGCCACGCTTGAAGAGAAGGCGGGAGGCGGAGGCCGCGGCGCTGTCATGGAGCTAGTGGAAGAAGCGCGGGAATTGGGTCGCTGGGTGGCCGAAGAGATGGGTGTGCCCGCGGCATCCCGGGCCCCGGAGTCGACGCTGCGCAGGTGAGGCCGCTGCGGGAGCGACGGCTCCTCATCTGGTGACAGATGCTTCAGGAGTGAGAGCCGCCCTCATAGAGGACGCGGACGCCCTCTCCGCGAGTAACTGAGGGCCCCCACTCCAGTAGCAGTATATTCAGAGAGAGGATTCTCATTTGAGTGAGGAGCCCCGGTGGTGACCCTCACACTCCTTCCCCCACCCCAGGGATGCCGTCCAGAGCTGTGTCCCTGGCACCACGGAAGATTGTCCCTCAGTTTATGCAGGCCCCTCTCCCGTGTGCAGACAGGGTCTCCAAAGTAAGGCCGACCCAGCAGCACCCCCCCAACCCATGAGGACACTCGGGATTTGGCAGTGACAGCCCCTGCCCCCCAGGGATCGAATCAAGCTAACCCTCTCCCAGAAGAAAGGGAGCACACACAGTGGAACCAGTATACTCCCGAGCTTAGTGCGAAGCCTGCCCTCTCAGTGAGTAAGGAGGTAGTATCCTACCTGCAAAGCATGAGCCTTCTCTCCTCTAGAAGTGAGTAAAGACTCCTCACCATCATCACCCTGGAAGTGAGGTTCCTCCACTGTGGGATGCCCCAGGCAACCTTTGTGTTGTCCCCACAGGCTGTGTCTGGGCCAGGGAGCTGACATCTGGGCCTACATCTTGCAGCATGTACGCAGTCACAGGTGAGCCATGCTGGGTAAAAGAGGAAGGCGGGAAGGGGTCACGGGCGAGTCCCACCGTAACTCCTTCCTCCATCTCACCACTGCAGGAATGTCAAGAAGATTCGGGGAAACCTACTGTGGTAAATGCTTCTCAGAGCCATCCCTTCTTATTTTCCCCTCCAATCTAACCTTGTCCCCACCCACAGCCTTGCTTTTTCTCCCTGGAAACCCCAGTCATCTCCTAACTGTGGTCTCATTTCTTCAGGTATGGCCACCAGGACAGGCCAGAGGTAAGAAACCTGTGCTCTGAAAAAGAACTTGTAGATCTTCTGCTTTTAGACCCAGCCTGATGCTGGGTGTGCTAAAAGCACAGGGTTGTCAAACAGCCCTGATCCCGTGCCCTCCCAGGGTTTTCAGTCCAGGGTAAGCCAGGCAAGATTGGGAAAGGCATTCAAGTTGGTGAGGGAAGTGCTGGGGCCCGAATGGGACCCAGCAGGTCCCAGGAGCCCAGGTGACATCTTGATGGAGGCTTTCAGAAAGCTTCATATTCCAGGTGTGGGCTCAAAGAAGAGATCAAGGTTGGAACAGAAATGTGGGTGTTGAGACAGGTGAGATGGTACATACCTCAATCCCAGCACTCCAGGCAGCCAAAACGGGAGGATCACAAGTTTGAGCCCAGGGGCTGGGGAGATGGCTCAGTGGAATAAGCGCTTCCCTGGCAAGCGCAAGGGCCTGAGTTCAATCCCCGGTTCTGCCAAAAAAAAAAAAAAAGTTTGAGCCCTGCCTAAGACACAGTCTCAAAAAAAAATCTGGGAATGAAGATCAGTAGGAAGGCCCTAGGTTCAGTCCCCCAATTTCTAATACCAGAAATAAAGAGAGAATGAGAGGAAGACAGAAAGAAAAAAAGAAAAGAAACTGAGGGCTAGGGAGATAGCTCAGTGGGGTAAGTGCCTGCCTGGCAATTGCAATGTCCTGAGTTCGATCCCTGGTATTAAAAAAAAAGAAAGAAAGAAAGAAAAAAAAAAAAAAAAGAAAGGAAAAGGAAAGAAAGAAAGAAAGAAACTGAGAGGTTTGGTGAGGCAATCCCAGGAGAAAGGAGGGAGCCAGATAGTACTTTATCCTGCTTAGGAAAAACCCTCTGTCACTCTCCCAGCCCATGGATGAGAAACCTGGTGCTCCCCCAAAAGATAGGCCAGACAAAGCCCCAGTCAAACCAAGCATCTGACCTTGTACCTGACTCCACCAGGTCCGTCGGAAGCTGGAGCTGGAAACTACTGTGTCCCGCCTAAGGGCAGAGATCCAAGAGTTAGACCAGAGCCTGGAGCTGATGGAGCAAGAGAATGAAACTCAGGGTGACCCATGGGACCAGGCAGATGGGCAGTGGAATCCAGGGTTGTGGCGGGGTGCTGACAACCACCCCTGTTCTTCCCCCAGACATGGCCACAGAGCAGGCACTCCAGAGCATGAGAGACACCCAGCATCGAGCCCTCCTCCTCCAGGCCCAAGCTGGGGCTGTGCGAAGACAGAAACGTGGGCTTCGAGATCCCATACAGCAGCTACAGAATCAGCTCAAGTGCCTGCAGGACATAGAGAGGTGGGTCTCAGGACCCAAGGGACCAGCCCTCATCAGGGCAGTCATCCTTAAAGATCTCTAACGTCATCCTTTCTGGGTTTCAAAATTCTGAGCCCCCTCCCATACGATTTAGGGTTCATAGGGTGAGATTTTTGTTGTCTTACTCTCTCTCTCTGTATTTCTGGTACCAAGAGTGGCACTAACTAGATCTGGAGCACCAACTCTGGAAAAACAACAGTAGGCACAGGGCAGCTTCCTGTCCTCCTGGAGCCTAGTCTCAAATGCCAAAAGGGCAGGCTGTGAACTAAGAAACATTCTACAGTTGCAGGTAGAGGTAAGTTCAAGGCCATGACAAAGAGAGGAGGAAGCTCAGAACAGGCAGTAACATGTTAAGAAGCAACATTTGAGTTGGAGGAGGAATTTGCTTGGAGAGGGCAAGAGCAGAGGTCCCGCCCTTGGCCTGTAGGAAGAATAGCTAGGAAGCCAGTTCAGCCCAGGTTTCTCAGGCAAGAGGGACTGGGGGGAATGTGGGGCTGGACAGGTTTGGAGTGCCCCAGAGGCCCTGGAGTGTGACTCTGAGACAGTTCTGCCCCTGGCTTGGCCATTTACAATTGTGCGGCTTTGGGCAAAGTATCCTCTTGGCACCTCAATACAAGATCTGTGGAAGAGCCCTAATGTTCAGAGCAGCCTTTGACATTAGGGATAATTAGGTGAGTTGGATGAAGTGCTCAGAAGAGTGGCAACCACTGTTGCTATTCTGCCTATGATGAGAAAATATCCGTTGCAGTGGAGGATGTGAACAGTGATGTGATCTTCTCTGGGGCAAAGGCCCATCCTGTGAGATGAAAAAGGCCTAATCACAGAGGTCACCCCTGGGGCCCAGGTGCAGCACTCAACGTGCCTAACCACGCCGGCCGTGGGAGGAGATGGGACACAGGCATGTGTTTTGCCAGGGATGGCTGTCCCAACCACACTCCTCCCTCCAGGAAGGCCAAAGTTGATGTGACCTTTGGACCTCTGGCATCAGCAACCCTGGCCCTGGAGCCCGTGGTCCTGGTAAGAGTCCTAGGCCCTTGGGAAGGGTGAGGAGTTCAGAGCTAGGCAGACACCTGAATGCCCTTCGTGTCCGGTCCTTTTCTCTCTAGCGTGACGTCCGAACAGCCTGCACCCTCCGGACCCAATTCCTGCAGGACCTCCTGATGCCCCAGGCCAGGGGAGGCAGTGTCCAGTGAGTGTTCCCAGACTCTAAGAACCTTCAGTCGACCTAGGCTTTGGAGGCAGGAAGTCACTCTTAGTAATCCCTCAGATGTTGAGTTCCTGGGCTTTGTCAGTTCCAGGCTGTGTCCTGACGGGGCTCCCAAGTTGGAATGAGGAGGAGATAACCCATAATAGACAGTTATGGCCAGGTGGTCAGGTCTGTAGGGGATGGGGAAGGATAAGAACACTAAGGAGGGAGGGAAGGGAAGAAAAGGAGAGGTATTCTGGTGAGGAGGCTTAGCCAGGGTAACAGACAGAATCTAGCAGGAAACTCAAGTCTAGCAGGCATAGATGAACTCAGTTTCCTCTTGTGTAAAATGGGGGCAGTGACAGCCCCTATCTTGTAGGGTGCTGGTGAAAAGTAGAGTGATAGGTGTTGTATCTTGTAACGTTCCTGTCCCCTCACCCAACCCCACAGAAGCTCGAATGATGACCACTTTGGAACCTCTTACCAGCAGTGGCTTAGCTCAGTAGAGGTGAGAAGGTGGGGCTCTTGGAAGGGTCACACCCTCCAGACCCAAGATCAAACCTCAGGGTGCCAGCTCCTGACCCTCCTTTCTACCTCTCATTCCTGTGGGACCCCAGCTTCCTGCCCAGCCCCCCATGTGGCCTGAGCACCCTTCCTGCTCCCCAGATGCTGCTGACAAACCACCCCCCAGGCCATGTCCTGGCTGCCTTGGAGTACCTGGCTGCGGAGCGGGAGGTGGAGATCCAGCGCCTGTGTGGTAGAGATGGACTCAGAGATACGGAGCAACCCAGGTGCAGAGTGGAGCATTCCTAGTGAGGGCGGGTGGGTGGGTGAGCTGGGGCAGTCGAGATCAGCCACTGGGACCTGCTGGTGGGGCAGAACTGCATCTTGGTGCCTGCTGCAGTGGGCAGGCTGTACTGGCTGCTGCCAGGTACCAAGGCCAGGACACAGGATGCTCTCTCAGCAGCTGTGCCCTCACACAGGCCCCAGACCCTGGCTCGGGCAGACTCCAGCCAAGCCCTGCCATCCACGGTGCATCTCATCCAGGTAACCTCCAGCAACTGTCCTAATATCCCCAGCCCCCTCACCCTGTGGGCCATGCTCACACAGACCTTGTGCCTGCCCCCAGGAGGGCTGGCAGGCTGTGGGTGCACTGATCACCCAGCGGGGAGCCCTGCTGAAGGAGTATCAGGTCCTGACTGGCCGCCTCCAGGGCCTGGTGGAAGAGGTGGAGAGACACAGCCTTGGCCCCAGTGAGAGGTGAGGGACCTTTGACAGAGGCCTGTAATCCATCTCTCCCAGGCTTCTCAGGATGTGGACATTTCTGTCCCTGTGATTCCCATCCCTGCCTCCCTTTCCCTGGGGTGTTTCTGTGGATTTATGGTTCATTGTGCAGCCTGAAAACTGCATCTCCCTCCCTAGAGTGGTCTCGGTTTTCTTGTCCTCTTTTGCTCTTCTCTGCTCATCCTGCAGGAAAGCACTATTGCTGGGCCTTCGAGGCTGTGGTCTGCAGGCAGAGCTCAAAGCCCTGTGTGCCCAGCGCCAGGAGCTGCAGGACGCCTCTGGACATCGGCAGCTTCTTCTGCGAGAGCTACAGACCAAGCAGCAACGCATTCTGCACTGGCGGCAGCGGGTGGTAAGAGGCAGGGCCTGGTAGAGGGCAAGAGCCTAGGTGTGGGGCCTTATGATCAAGCACTGGGCAGGGAGGGGGACCCAGGTTGAGAGCCCCAGGAGGAAACAGAACCTGTGCAAAGGGGTGGTCTCTGCCACATCCAGCTAGTCACCATGGCCTCCTCGTTCTCCAGGGGCAGACCCAGGAACAGATCCGCCTACTCATCAAGGGAAACTCAGCCAGCAAGACCCGCCTGAGCCGGAGTCCCGGGGAGGTGAGATGGGTATTGGGGTGATGAGGTCTAGAGTGGGGAACAGGGGGACTAGATCTATTGAAGAGGGCTGGCCCCACATGAACTCCTCACCATACCTCTCCGTCCCAACAGGTGCTGGCCCTACTTCAGGAAAAGGTGATCCCCGCTTCTGAGGCCATAGCGCCAGAGAGCGAAAAACTACTGGGCTGCCTGGAAGAGGGAGCCCGGCACCTGCCTCACATTCTCCTGAGCACCCTGCTAAGGCACAGACCCGAGGGGTAATCTCTGAGGCCCAGCCGCCATCTCCCCTGCCTTAGGTCACTCCCCGAACCTCCTCCAAAGAGGTCACCCCCGTGTTCCCCAGCTGCCACCACCTCACCTAGGTTACCAGGCCCAGTCCAACATCCCACCCCCAGGCCCACCTTCAAGTTCCTTGGCTCCAGAGCTTCCGGTACTCGACCCCTTCTCTCCGTGCTCCATCAAGGCTGGTCTTCTCCCCCAGGTTGAAGCCCCTGCCCACAATCCTACCGTCTATCTACCAGTTGCACCCCGCATCCCCCAGGGGCTTCAACCTCATAGCACTGAGCCACACACTGGGGCTGCCTGCAGGGAAGGTGAGTGCCTGTCCCCTAGGACGGCCTGCTGGTCACCATTCCCAGCCCTGCCCTGGTGACTGTCTTTCCCCCTCCCTCCAGGGACCAGAGCTGCTCCTCCCAAAGGCTGCCTCTCTTCGCCAGGACCTTCTGTTCCTCCAGGACCAGCAGAGTCTCCGGTGCAGGGATCTGCTTCACATGAAGAGCAGTCTGCCGCCAGGACCGTCCACCCAGGGTAGGCTGGCCTGACTCCCATACCCTGCACCCCTGTCTGTTCCTGGCACCCACACCTGCTCCCCCATGTGCTGTGTGCTTAGCATATACTCAGCTATTAAACATACACAGCAAGCCCATCAGTGAGCACTGCTCTTCTCCCTGTTGTACAGGGAAGGGAGCTGGGATGCAGAGGGCTTAGTAACCTGCCCACATGGCAGAGCTGGCCCATGAACCCAGGTAGCACTAGGCAGCACCGACCATCCATTTGCCAAGCGCTTACCATCTTCAGGTAGTGTACTTGAGCAGTTAAGCTGGGCTGTGGAGCTAAACCACCTGGCTTACCTTCTCAGTGCTTTCTCTTCCTTGCTGGGTGACCTGCCCATAACTCAGTTGCCTCTGTGGTAGAGTAAACGTAGTAAGAATTAGGGATTGCAGGGAGGATTCAGCAAGGCTTGCAGTGGGCATTTTGTGCGAGCTGTGAATATAATTGTCTGTGTCGGCACCATCTCTTTGAAGCCTTACTGTGAGGGGAAGGATTATTAAGACTTACTTGGGGCTGGTGAGATGGCTCAGTGGTCTAAAGCACCTACTTAGAACAAGCTTAGCAAAGCACAGGGACTGTGGTTCAGTCCCCCAGCACCACATGCCAGCCAGCCCCGCCCCCTGGTGGGCTGAGCTGGCCACACACACACACACACACACACACACACACACAAATAAATAAAATTTAAAAAAAAAAAAAAAAAAAGACTTACTTTACAGATGAGGAAATAAACTCTGAGAAGTCTAGTGCTGGCCTAGACAGCTCGATGGGGTGTGAGGAAGAGCTGTCTAGCCCCAACGGATTTCCCAGGGCAGAAACAAATAGAAAAGAATCAAAGAATAAATAGATACAAGGTGAATTGATAAGAAATAGGTTGAGAGAGCCAAGTGCAGTGGCTCAGTGGCATTCTGGGAGGCCAAGACAGGAGGATCATAAGTTAGAACCCAGCCTGAGCAACCTAATGACTTAATGAGACCCCATTGCAAAATAAAAATAAAAAAGGCTAGGGATGTAGTTTATCGTGAAGGTATTAAGAAAAGAAAAATATAGGGGCCGGGGAGATGGCTCAGTGGAGTAAGTGCTTCCCTGGCAAGCTCAAGGGCCTGAGTTCAATCCCCAGTTCCACCAAAAAAAGAAAAAAAGAAAACAAAAATAGAATTGAGGGTGCAATTAGCCAAATAGAGACTTCTAGGGTTAGAGTTTGGGGCTCCTGCATTCCACCTCCACAAGGAAATGTGCAGGAATCAGAACAGTTTCAGAAGAGGCGTAACATGTCCCACCTCATGGACATCTTGAACTTTAATGTATCTGTAAGAGAACTCTGTTCTCTTTACTGCAAAGAGCTATTCTGTCCCTCTTTGGTTTTTTTCCCCTCCGTAACTATCCCATCTTCTCATCCAGTTGCTACTGCAGAAACCCTAGAGTTACCCTTCATTCCTCCCTGCTCCCTCACTGCCTCCCTTCAACCTGTTAGTGAGTCCTGTGGGTCCCACCTCCCAAGTTCTCCAATCTGCCCCTCCCCACTAGCCTACAGCTGTTCCTCTCTGACAGCAGAGATGGCTAAAGAAAGGACAAGTGTCAAAGACTGAGGTTACAGGGCCAGGATGGGATAATGTCAATATTCATGCCACGCTGCTGAGCTGTATTTGCTCTGACTTTGGCCTGTTCTGGGCATGTGGAGAGGGACTAGGCCCAGGAAGTGTCCTGGGGAGAAGCACCACTGGAGTGAAGGGCTGTAGCAGGCTGAGGAGAAAGCCCTGTGGTGTCAGATGCTGGCGGGGGCTTTCCAAAGAAAAAAACGATACCTCACTCAGACCCGGGAGTGAGGCCAGGTTTTTCCCCACAGTACTGAGCAGGTCACCTAATGCAGATGTTAATACCAAGTTGAGGCACTTGGCAGCACTAGGGAGCCTTGGAAGGTTCTAAGAGGGCACATCAGATTTGGGTATCAGGTATATCGTTCTGTCAAATGGAGGAGGGTGACCAGAGTGGGAAATAGGCCTGGGGCTTAGGACGGGGCTAACAGGAAGAGTAGGGAGCAGAGGAAGAAACTTGGAAACCTGAGTGGGTGGGCCATGCAGCCTGATGGGCTGTCGTGGGGAAGGAAGAAGGTGTCCGGGATGAGGGCCTGCTGAGTTGGGCTTGCCCTGGAGATGAGGACTCAGATGGAGGGACAGGACCAGGTGACTGGAGATTTGCTGACACTGTTGCCTTCGAGGCTCCCACAAACCAGACAACTCAGTGCTGTCACCTGGGCCTCTGACCTTTAGAGCTGCTGCAGATCCAGGCGTCCCAGGAAAAGGAGCAGAAGGAGAGCCTGGGGCAGGCACTAAAGAGGCTGGAGAATCTGCTGAAACAGGCGCTGGACCGAATCCCAGAGCTCCAGGGGGCCGTGGGGGACTGGTAAGAGAGAGAACTGGGGTGAGGAGTGCTGAACGGTGTGGGAAGACCGGCTCAGGCCTTGGGGATGGCAGAAGCCCAGTGGGGTCTGAAGGGCCGAGCTTCCTCTGACGCCATGCCCTTTTGCAGGTGGGAGCAGCCAGGCCAAGCCGCCCTCTCAGAGGAGCTCTGCCAGGGCCTGTCCCTGCCCCAGTGGCGCCTGCGCTGGGTCCAGGCACAGGGGGCCCTGCAGCAGCTGTGCAGATGAAGAAGAGGCTCAATCTAGAGCCAAGAATTTCACCCCAACACCCCTGCTCGTCTACTAAAGCATTCAAAAGAAGGCATGGTCAGGATAGGCAGCCTGTAGTCCCCGCGCATACCTACAGTGCCCCTTGGACCCTTCCGCTCCTACCTTGCCCTTCTAGCCCACCAAAGCCAAGAGAATGGGGCATGTAGGGGGCACACACATGTACCTCTTAAGGTCCCTGCATCCCTTTCACCCTCAGCACATTAACTGAGCATCTCCTTTGGGCACTGGCAATGCAGCACTGAACAAATTGGCCCGAAGTCCTATCTTTAGGAAGTGATGGGTGGGGGGAGACTGTCGGTGAGGTCAGTAAGGTGAGGTCAGTAAGGTGCAGTTATGTGGTGAGAACACTGTTGTGAGGAAATAAAGCGGGCACAGGAGGTGTGATTTTTCAACAGAGCACATGTACAGGGCCTGAGCAGAGCCACTGGTGTCAGGGAGGCTCCAGCACATACTTGGGATGTGCTGATAAGAGGGCCACTGAGGAGCCCTTTACAGTGGACGTGGGATGGGGTGAAGGGAAGATTTTCTTAGTTTTCCTTTCTTGACATTTATATCTAGGCATTTGGAACTCAGCCTAGCAACACATTCAGTGCTGCCTTATCTCACATCTGTCCCAGTAGCACTTAGTAAATTCTCATGCAGCCAGCGGTTGCTGCTGAAAAAGGAGTAGCGGGGATGAAATGAGAGCAGGAAACCCTAGGGCAGTGGGGGTGAGCCTATGGCACGCATGCTGCAGCGGGCTGCTTACATCATTGAAGGTTCTGGAAGATTTGCCATCACTAGAGTAATGGTAAAATACATCAGGAGCAGTGAGGGTTCCCCTGGTCTACAGACTGGTCAGCTCCCACCTCTGTGTGTATGTGTGTGAGGGGGATTCTGAGGATTGAACCAGATCCTTCACATGTACTATATCCCCAACCCTTTATAATTATGAGGCAAAGTCTTAACTGAATCACTAAGTTGCCCGGGCAAGGTTTGAACCAACAGTGTTCCTGGCGCAGTTTCCCAGAGTGCTGCGGTTTTGGGCATGCTCCCTACCTGCCTTCATTGTACTCTTATGGCCTTGTCTACTCCACTGTGTGTATTTTTCCATTGTAAAGTAAAGCTTTACCCACTGGTTTAAAGTAGCACATTTTCTTTTACTGTCATGTCAGATGTGGTGGTATGTGCCTATAATCCCATCACTTCAGAGACTGAGGCAGGAGAACTGCTGTAAGTTAGCAGCCAGCCTGAACTGCATAGTCCCTGTCTCAAAAAAAAAGACTTATTCTTCCAGACCCATTGTACATTAACTCCATGTGCAGCTGCCGTAGTGCTTTCGTTACAAAGGTTTTGCAATACATGGTTGATAGGTTTTTGACGGCATCACAGCAGAGAAACAGGCGGAAGGAAAAAGGGAAAGGCACAGAGAGAATCTGGGGGAAGATAAGGGATTCAGAGTTGGAACAAAGGGAGGCTGGGGCTTTTATGGCCTTTTGGCAGGGGTAGAGTTAGAGGGGGATGTTTAGATCTACCTGAGCTGATGGGGCCTTCCCTGAGGCAGCAGGGAGGGTGAAAGGAAACTGCACCCTGGGCTGAGTTGGAGAAGGAGGAGGAGGTGGTTTTGAAGCAGATAATCTGTTGTTTAAGGGCTTCAGCCATACTAGATGACCACCATAATTTCAGTCTATCAGTGGTAATAATTGGAACTGGATTGCACTCAGGCCTTTTTTTTTTTTTCAAGGTTTTCCAGCCTCTTGTTGCTAATTTTTTCTCCCAAATTAAACTACTTAACCTGCCTGGTTCCAGAGCAACCACCTTTACTGGTTTGACGGTATACTTACAAATTAGGGATGTTTGACATCGCTGCTCTTGATCCTTCCTCCCTCCCACCCTCCCTCCCTCCAGCTTCTCCCCCGCCCTGCAGGGCCTCCTTGCCTCATCCGCAGCTGCTGCTCCATCTGCACACTGGCCATCCTACGCTCCATCCTTAGTGTTACCCTCCCACAGGTGGCTCCTGGTCCCTCCTCCAAGCTCAGGCATCCTCCCTGCTCCGTTTTTGTCCACAAATCTTTTTTTTTTTTTTTTATCCTGCCTCAGGTTTATTTGTACAAAGAGCATAGGAGGACACCAGCCCCCCACAGATGGCACCCCAGTCCTTCTGTTTTTACATCAGCAGTAAGAGGCTTTCACTGTGGAGTCTTCACAGGGGCCTGAGCACCTTTGGGAGCCTGGGCTGGAGCAGAAGCTGGAGCCTCAGCCTTGGCTGGAGCCTGGGCCTTTGGCCGGCAGGCCCTGCGACCCTTGGCAATGCGGGCACGGATGCGCTTCCCAAGCTTGGGGTGGGCAATATAGGCAAGTCGAGCAAGCCTGCGGTTTACTCCCTTTGGAATGATCTTGGGCTTGACCTCCTTGGGCTTGACGAGGGCCTTGATAGCCTCGGTGCGTGCACTCATGGCCTTGGCATTGTTTGCTTGCATCTTCTTGAAGCCCTTCTTGTTGTGCTTCTTGGCAAAACGCATGTTCCTAAGGAACTTGGGATCCACCCCCTTCAGAGATTCGTATCTTTGTGACCGAGGTTTCTTGATGCCATTTCTGTGCCATTTTCGGGACTGGTTGTGCATGGTATGGTTCTTGGACTTGGCCATAACTGCACTGTAAACCGCGGCGACCAAGCCTGTCCACAAATCTTAACATACATTGTGCTCCTTTTCACTTCCTTGAGTAGAATGTGAGCTCTGAAGGTGAACCCTTTATAAACTATAAGAAGGAAAAGCATGCCTAGATATGATTAAAAGTACAGATGTAACAAGAGGAAATATTGACAAAATTTTCTATATAAAAGAAAGCCTTTGCATAGCAAGGAAAAAGGAAACCACAAGTTTGACAAAAATATTTGCAACTTATACCATAAATATGTGTGCATGTATGTCTATGTATTTGTATAATGGCAAACTGGGAAAGAAAAATGCCAAGGCCAGAGAAGAATGGGAAAAAACTACACAAATGGACACTTTTGGGGCTAGGGAGATAGCTCAGCTGCATAAGTACCTGCCTGGCAAGCGCAAGGTCATGAGTTCAATCCCCAGTACAAAAAAAAAAAAAAAAAAAAGAAAATTTTCAGAAAAGATGCTCTGAAACTGAAAAACCACTATTTGCCTTCCATTAAGTGATAGATACAGGTAATAACCACTGGATCAAGGGTTGCCAAAGCTTTTAGGAGAAGAAACAACAGCTGATCAGTTGGCTTCATCAAAGGACGACAAAACATAGCTTCCTGTGTTCCTGATGAGATACGAGATGTAACGCGACATTGCTACCTAAGAATTAGGCACCATCACAGGCCGGGGAGATGGCTCAGTGGAATAAGCACTTTCCTGGTAAGCGCAAGGGCCTGAGTTCAACCCCTGGTTCCGCCAAAAAAAAAAAAAAAAGAATTAGGCACCATCCCATTCCTGTGTCTGAGTGTCCCTCATCTGAGCACATCCATCGATTTAATGACCAAAAAGAGACTGAAAATATTTGAATAATAAATTTTATCCTTACTAAACATGCTGGCTTTTTTCTTGTCATTATGCCCTTATCAACACAATTAAAACATTACATTATATTGAGTATTACAAATAAGCCAAGCGCTGGGTGTGGTGGCACATGCCCGTAATCCTAGCACACAGGAGGGTGAGGCAGAATAAATTCAAGGTCATCCTGGGGTACATAGTTCAAGGTCAACATGAACTACATAGCAAGACCCAGTCTCAAAAAATGAGCAAGAGTAGGCCTGGCAGTATAGCTCAGAACTAGAATGCTTGCCTAGCATTTTTGAGGCCTTGGGTTTAGTCTCCAGCACTGGAACAAGAACAACAAAAATAAAAATTGGAACAACTAGAGAAATTAAAGCAGTATTGAATTATAACCCAAAATATGGATTTTCATGGGTCCACACTGGTATGATTAAATAAATGAGGAACACAAACATCTCATAATCCAATTTTAAATAATTTACATAGATATTCCACTCTCAAGGAGGTGGTACCCACTCAATTGTGGCTGCACGTAAAAGAACATGAAGGGCCGGCGAGATAGCTCAGTGGACTAGGAGCCTCCCTAGGCAGGCACAGGGACCAGGGTTCAGTCCCTGGCACCAAATGCCACACTGGCCTCGCCCCAGGGTGTGCTAAGGCAGCAACCTAGCCCGGGGGTAGTGGCACATGCCTGTAATCCTGTAATCCCAGCACTGGGGAGACTGAAAACAGGAGGATCACTATGAGTTCAAGCTTCCTAGTGAGACCCTGCAGCAAATACATTTTTAAAAAATATTTTATTTTGATCCTTTTGAGACAAGGTCTTGCTATGCAGTTCAGGCTGGCCTTGAGCTCACTTTGTAGCCCAGGCTTGTCTTCAATTCAAAACCATCTGCCTGCCTCAGCCTCCTGAATGCTGGGATTACAGGCATGTGCCACCATGCCCAGCCAGATTAAAAGTAACTTTATAATGCAGAAGCCTGACAAACACTTCAGGCAGGTGATTGGAATTAATACTCACAGGGGTTAAGTCATGCTGACAGTACCAGTGGTAGTGAACCTATGGCATGTTTTCCACAGCTAGCTGCTTCCCTTCACTGGGTCTGTGGTCATTTCCCAAATGATCCATTGCTCTAGGCTAACGTGGAGAAAAGCATAAAGTGAATTCCAACTGAGGAACCTTCAATAAAATACCTAAAAAGTGCTCCTCTAAACTGTCAAAGTTGCCAAGTGTGGTGAAGGCCTGTAATCCCAGCACACCAATCACTGAAACAGGAGGATTGCTGCAAGTTTGGGGCCAGTATGGGCTATTTAGTGAGCTCAAGGCTAATTTGAACTACACAGACCTTGCCTATAAAAAAAAAGTCAAAGCCATCAAAAACAGGAGATCATAAGAAATTGTCACAGGCAAAAGGAACTCAGAAATGACAATTACATGTAATGCGGTATCCTGGACAAGATGCTGAAACAAATAGGGAGACTAGGCTAACAAAAAAAAAACTAAATAAAATTTGCACTTTAGTTAACATTATTAAGAAGAAAAAGAAGTTCCAATTCGCTCCTTAACCACATCTCTATCACAAAAGCAAACAATGCCAACATTTGTTGACCATTCATTTCTGCTGATTCAAGATTGGGATTCAAGGGCCAGCGAGATAGCTCAGGGGAATGAAGTGCCTGCTTAGGCAACCTTAGGCAAGGTCAGGGACCGTGGTTCAATGTCCCCCACCACATTCCATGCCAGCCCTTTCCCCAGGGTGTGCTGAGCCTGCCAGAGCCAGGGCATAGTGGTTTATGCCTGTAATCCCAGTGCTGGAGAGGCTGAAAAGCAAAAGAATTACTAAGTCTGAGTGAGACCCTGCAACTACCAAATACATTTTTTTAAAGGGGGGGGGGCGGATTTAAAGATACTAAAGCAACCAGTAAATTTTGATGTGGGGGGATCTACCAACCAACTCTAATGTGTGATCTTATTTGCCTCCTGATTTTACAATTCTACTGTACAATGAGATTTTCAAGACTGGGTTCTTCGAACATAGTCTGGGTGTTTGACGAAACTAAAGCATTTTGTTGTTGTTGTTGATTTGTTTTTTGAGACAGGGTCTTGCTATGTTGATCAGTTTGGTCTTGAATCCATTTTGTAGCCCAGGCTGGGATCAATTTGAAGTGATCCTCCTGCCTCAATCCCCTCTCTCTCCAGTGCTGGGATTACAGGCGTATGCCACCATTCCTGGCCAGAAGGAATTAATTTGAGGATGTTGACAACCCTATACTTAATGAGTTTTTAAAAAATGTTTTATGTGTTAGATATACTGACGACACATTTATGAATGAATTGATTTGTTTTTGGAATTTGTTTTTAACCTTCTGCAGGAAAAATAAGTAAATTATACAGTTGAAACAGAAAGCATATAATATTGGTAGCGTTTGAGGCAATGAGGACAGGGTTCTTTAAACTATCCCCTCTGTGTAGTTTGAAAAAGTCATCATAAATAGGGCTGGCCAGATAGCTCAGGGACTAAAGCGGCTGTTTAGGAAGGCGAATGGACCGGAGTTCGATCTCCAGTCCCTGACGCGCAGTGCTGGTCCCGCCCCCGGGGACACACGAAGCCGGCGAGATTTAAGACTGGGCGTGGTGGTGCGCGCGCCTGTAATCCCAGCGTTTGGGAGGCTGAAAACAGGAGGATCACTACGAGTGTGATCTGTGTAGTGAGGCCCTGCAGTCCCTGAAGTATACACATTAAAAATAAAAATAACAAGAGTTATCATAAACTTTGAGAAAACTGGATCCAAGCTTCCTGCGAATTTCCATCATGAAGTCTCTGATCTTTTCGTAATCTCCGGTAGTCTTGTGCCCGCCTCTGTGGCGCCCCATCCACTCCGGGTCCCCAGTGCCAACAGCTGCGAGGTTAGACGCAGACTTGACAGCGTCCGCAAGCTCCGGGCTCCGGACCGGCGGAGCCTGGGCGGGGCCTCCGCACTTCTCTGCGTTTTCAAAGGTCCAGATTCCTCTTTAGGGACGAGCCCAACTGACTTTGCTTTGCTCGGATTAGCCCTCGTTCCTCCGTGGGGGCGTGGCCGCCTCTCTCCTCTGCGCCCAGATAGCCCGAGTTTTTTTCCGTTAATCTTCCCCTACTGCGCTCGGGTAGGCTAGCCGAACTCCTTGGGGGTGTGGCCGCGTGTCGTTGGGCTTCGCTTCCGGAGGTATAATGTCCTACGCCGGCGCCCGTCGCGTTCGCGGACACGTCATCTACGGGCGCCCACCCTGACGGAGCCAGAGAGTAAGACAGCAGGACTTGCGGCGGCGGCGGCCAAGCTGAGACGGTCGTAGCGGCGACAGCGACTGCAGCAGCAAGAATGGCCGGGGCGGGGCCAGCCCCGGGACTCCCGGGTGCAGGAGGACCTGTGGTCCCGGGCCCTGGTGCCGGCATCCCGGGCAAGAGCGGCGAGGAACGCTTGAAGGAAATGGAGGCGGAGATGGCCCTGTAAGGCCCGCGAGAGGGGGTGTAAAAGCCATCCTCCCAGCAGAGTCGCTGAATCCTGGAGCCTCCAGGCCTCGGGAGGCCCAGGAGGTGGCTCTGTCATGAGGAAGTGGGACCTGCAGCATGCTGTTGGGGCTGGGGGTGGGTATGGAGATGTTGGCAGGGGTGAGGGACCTGACCCCTGGTCTGTCCTGAACCTCCAGGTTTGAGCAGGAAGTTCTAGGGGCTCCAGTAACCGGAATCCCAACTGCTGTGCCTGCGGTGCCCACGGTCCCCACAGTAGACGCGATGCAGGTCCCGGCAGCTCCCGTGATCCGCCCGATTATTGCAACCAACACATACCAACAGGTAAGTTTTAGCTAAAGCATAAGTCAGGGAGAGCAGTGCCTTGAACACAGCGTTTGTATATTGGAGAGCTGTTGACATTTTTGGCCTGTTGACTAATAGCATGACAAATATTTCATCTTCTGGGTTTTGACAACGTAATAGTGACAAAGACGATATTTCTTTTGACACGTTGTGTCCTAGAGCGTGCTGTCCAATAGAACTTGATGGGAATGTTCTATACTTAAAATTTATAATTACTTCCTCAATCTCAAATTTTAAGTACTTAGCAGTTAGCCTATATACGGCTAGTGGAGAGAAAGGGAAGGAGGGAGAGAAGACTATTAAATGAAACTAGTTCGTTGTGTTCTGTTAACAAAACAGTGACTGGATGCTGACTAAGTTTATATATATATTTTTTAAAATTTTTGTTTTATTTATGTGTGTGTGTGTGGCCAGCTCAGCCCACCAGGGGGCAGGGCTGGCTGGCATGTGGTGCTGGGGGATTGAACCACGGTCCCTGTAGCTTTGCTAAGCTTGTTCTAAGTAGGTGCTTTAGACCACTGAGCCATCTCACCAGCCCCCCTAAGTTTATATTTTACAAGGAAGAGATAGGTCAAGGTGTGGTAAGAAGGCAGAGGTTTATCATCACAGGTGAGAAAAGTAAGGAAGTGACATTTAAGCAAAGCTACAGAGGAGGTGCTGGCACTGTGCAGGTATCTGAGGTATGAGTAATCCCAGCAAAGAACTTAACATGCTTAGGGAACTTCAGGAAGGTCGATAGAATAGGATGAGCGAAGAGCTGTGAGAAGATACAGACAGAGGTGACGGAAGCCAAATCTAGTAGGGCCCCAAGGGCTGCCATCAGGACCTTGGCTTTTACTCAGATGGGGAACTATTGGAGGAATTTGAGCAGAAGGGTGCTATGTTTCAACTTGATGGAGTTGCTCCGGCTGTCTGGATTGTAGAGGGCAAGGATAAAATTGAGAAGACTGAGGAACAGGCTGCTGTAGTGATCTAGGCAAGAGGTGACGGTGGTTTGGGTCAGGATGGTGGTATTGGAGATGGCAAGGACAAGTTGGACATTATTTCAGATAGTGCTGTGGGGAAGCTGAAGTGGGGTGGTAAGAGAAGTTGCTCTGAGGATAAGGACTGCTTTAATGTGATCTCAAAAGCTTCCCTGTGCTATGTGTGGTGGTGCATGCCAGTAATCCCAGCACTTCGGAAGCTGAGGCAGGAGGATTGCTTTGAGATTGAGGCCAGCCTGAACTACATTGCCATACCCAGTCTCAGAAACAACAACAACAAAAGTCTCCCTGAGAAGAGACTTTTAGCTAAGACCTCATAGGCACTCAGCCCTACACAGAGCACAAAGAATGATATTCTTGACTTCCTGGGGTGAGCCAGCCAGGGCCAGTTAGGAGCACTGAGTCCAGCCCCTCATCTCATCATCCCAACCTTCTCCCAAACAGGTCCAGCAGACTCTGGAGGCCCGGGCAGCTGCTGCAGCCACAGTAGTGCCTCCCATGGTGGGTGGTCCTCCTTTCGTGGGCCCAGGTAAGTAAAGAGTGGCTGAGAATACAGGTAGAGGCTCGGGCAAAGTGGTAAGAAGGGATGCCCAGGACTCTTTCCACCATCCTCATTTTACCTTTCTCAACAGTTGGCTTTGGCCCTGCTGATCGGAGTCACCTGGACAGTCCAGAGGCTCGCGAAGCCATGTTCCTGCGGCGAGCAGGTAGGTCAGCATCAGGAAGCCCATATTTAACCACAAACACTGGTTTAGGTGACTTCAGCCTTTTGTCTGCATTGCTGCTTTAAATCACCTTCTCCACTCATTTCTTTTCCCTGGTTATCACCCTTCTGAAGCACAAGTCCGATTGTATACTTCCTGGTTATTTCAGTTTGGGCTTAACGTGGTCATTGCGCACGAACGCCCCTCCTGTCCCTCCTAACCCCTAACCTTTGCTGTGTTTCTCTGCAGTACTGAACACTGTATAACAAGCTACACTGTTTACTCATTATGGTTATCGTTTTTTGCTTTCCATAGAATACAAGCTTTGTGAAGGGCAGAACTCTTGGGTCCTACCACAAAGTAAGCATGAGTCACTATCTAATAAAGGGCTAACAGATCCCCAAACAAGCACTAAGCTCCTTCCTAGTAGTTAAGACCCTGCATGAGCTGGCTTCTTTCAAAGAGACCTGCACAGCCTCCCCTGAAGCCCCGAACATTGCTGAGATGTACCAGGTGTGGTTGAGGTCCCTTCTCCCTGCTGCTGCTTTCAGTCACCTGTAATATCCCAGCCTGTCTTTTCCACAAGCCATTCTCTACATTTTCCACCTCTTGTCCAGGTAACCCCTACTCACACCATTTTTATGCCATCATATGAAAAGGAAGTATGTTCTCATTTGGATGTAAAATTCGGATATGATCTCTGTTAAGTCAGACTTATTCTTACATTTTCTAAATCCATTATTCTTTTTAAGTGGTAACATCTAAGGAGTGTTAACACACTCTGGTAAGGTTTTGTTGAAAGGCAAGTCCGACCTACCAGACCCATCCTGCTCCCAGTATCCTCTGAAGGAAGTCAGTGGCTCACCCAAGAGGGCTGACTTAGACACCTGCTGAGATGGCAACAGTTCATCATGCTCTCCAAGGGCTTTTTGTAACAATCACACTAAGCTGAAAAGGGAAAAAATGTTTTGTTGTTACTTTGTTTCCTTGTGTTTTTGAAACAAAGTCTCATTATATAGCCAGGATGGCCTTGAAGTTACTATGTAGCTCAGGCTAGCTTTGAACTCAGGGGTAGCTTCGCAGCCCAGACTCCTAAGTGCTTGGATTACAGGCATATGCCCCCGTGTCCAGCTAAGGCATAAAAGGTTTTGCTTACACAGGTTCACCCTGCCATAACATTTCCTTTCACCGTTTGCCTAACTCTTCATCATCTCTTGGGGCTGAGCTTCTTTTTCCAGGAAACCTTCTCTCATCCTGCTGTGGGGTCAGAGGGCTTTGACAGCTTTGATGGCTCCTGGCCTTCCATCTCCTGGCTCAGGTCCCTCTACGTTGGTTTTAACCTATTCTAGCTCTGATCAGCCTGGGCCGTCACTCCTTCCTACTCTCTATAGGAGCTTCCTGAGAACCCTTGATCTGTGCTGGGTCTCTAGCACTATCCACCACAGGGCTGGGGCTACAGGAGACCCTCATGGTCAGTTTTGGGTGAAGGAACCAATGGAAAGACCCCCACTTCTCTCAGAAGGATCCCCAGACTTTTTCAGGATTACTTACATGCTGAGAGTAAACACTGTGCGTGCACACAAACACACATGCACACACACACACACGCACACACACACACCCCTTGCTGCAAGTACCCCTGTCCCCCATGACACACACCCCCATCTCTCTCTCCCACAGCTGTGGCCCCTCAGAGGGCCGCTATCCTGCGTCCAGCCTTCGTCCCTCACGTGCTACAGAGAGCAGGTGAGGGGGCCAGGGTCATCACTACCACACTACTCGCTCCCCAAGCCCCTCGACTCTCCCACTAACACCCTGACAGATTCTCTTCTTTCTTCTGCAGCAGGTGCTCCCCGGCCTATGGCCCTACGGCCCCCACACCAGGCCCTCGTGGGACCCCCTCTGCCTGGGCCCCCTGGACCACCCATGATGCTGCCACCAATGGCTCGGGCCCCTGGGCCGCCCCTGAGCTCCATGGCTGCTCTGAGGCCTACCCTGGTAAGTGTGGTGGGGACTGAATGCCATAGGCTGGAAGCCCTCACTGGTTTTGCCTTCTTTCCAGCTCCTTCCTCTAACTTTGTCTCTGCCTCTTTATTAATGAATATTAATTATGGAGAATATTAATTATGGAGAATTTTGGTGATTTCCTATGTGCACGTAACAATACATTTTGATCATCTTCATACCCCTATCTTGGTCTCTTTCTGTCTGTGTCTTTATTTGTGATGGAAAATATGTTTCTTTTTGAAAAGTATAGAGAAAAATGTGTGTTTTGGGTGTGTCTGTCTCATTTTTTCTTTTCACTGTCCCTTTCTGTTTCTCTGTAGTGTTTTTACCTGTGTGTCTGCATATATTTCTCTTTTTCTGCCTTACTAGAGATTTCCTTCCTTGCCTGTTCTCTGGCTTTGCTGTATGGATAGGGATGGATAGGGTATGGGGTCTGTGATCTGGCTCTCTCATATCTTTCTTTGAAGATTTTTTTTTTTTTTTAAATGAATTAGTACAAGGCCTACAAGGTGTACAGGGTCTCACCATGTAGGTGGGACTCGTAGTGATCCTCCTGTTTTTAGCCTTCCAGGCACGGGGACTATAGGAGTGTGCCACTACACCCAGTCTCAGTCAATGCCTCAGCGCACCCTGAGGGCGAGGCTGGCACAGCATCGAACCCCAGCCGCTGCACTTTACCAAAGCAGGCGCTTTAGTCCTCTGAGCTATCTGGCCGGCCCTTAAGAAATTTTTAAAAACTTTTTATTAGTATGTGTTTGCAGTATATAATGACTTTATTCTTTGTGAGGAGTTATTTGTGTAGCTGATGCGCTCATGTCCTCCTCTTACCCACAGGAAGAGCCAGCAGCTCCGCGAGAGCTGGGCCTGGGCCTGGGGCTGGGGCTGAAAGAGAAGGAGGAGGCAGTGGTGGCGGCAGCAGCTGGGCTGGAGGAAGCAAGTGCTGCGGTGGCTGTGGGAGCAGGCGGTGCTCCGGCTGGCCCTGCAGTCATTGGCCCCAGCCTGCCACTGGCCCTGGCCATGCCATTGCCTGAGCCCGAGCCCCTGCCCCTCCCCCTGGAGGTAGTACGGGGCCTGCTGCCCCCACTGCGCATTCCTGAGCTCCTGTCCCTTCGGCCACGACCCCGGCCCCCTCGACCTGAGCCACCTCCTGGCCTCATGGCTCTCGAGGTAAGCAGAGAACGTAGCAGTGGGAGGGCAGGCAGTAATCCATGGGTTTTCACACATAGTCCTCTGTCCAGAGCAGGGAGGACTCAAGGCGAGGGAGGTGGCGTGCATCCCCACCTCCACCAGCAGATCTAGTCCTCTCACTGGGGGAAGAAGGGCAAGAGCAGAAGCAGAGTGAGCGACCAAGTAGCACCAGGTCCTTTGTACCCCGCCCCCTCGCTCTGCAGGTGCCAGAGCCCATGGGTGAAGACAAGAAGAAAGGGAAACCAGAGAAATTGAAACGTTGCATTCGCACAGCAGCTGGAAGCAGCTGGGAAGACCCTAGCCTGTTGGAGTGGGATGCTGGTGAGTGTGCTGCAGTATGAGGTCAGGCTGAGCCACAGACAGGCCCTGCAGCTTCTGTGGGCCATGGCCGCGAAAGGGAGGCCAGGGAACCATGGCTCGCCTGTTCTTAGCCTACCTCAGAGAAGGCCGGACTGTAACATTGACAGGCAGGTCCCTGTTTTCTGTCCTGTTTTACCCCTGCGGAACCTGGCCTGCTTGACATCAAAGAGCATTGTTTCTTCCACTAACTTTTTTGTTTTGAGACAGGATCTCATGATATTATTCAGGCTGTCCTTCAACTCCCTGTGTAGCCCAGGCTGCCCTCAAACTTGTGGTGATCCTCCTGCTTCAGCCTCCCCAGTTCTGGGATTACAGATGTGTGCCACCACATCAGGCTTCCCCAAACTTGAATGAAAAGAATGTTGGAGCCCAGAATGATGCAGTGAACGACCTCCCCGCTGCCTGGATTCTGCAGTTCATATTTCACCCTGTTCACTGTATTCATCCTGCTCACTTTATTCCTGTTAACTGCTATGAGGTTTTGTTGTTTTTGCAGTGCCAGGGTGCAAACACAGGCATGCTAGGCAAATACTGTACCTGGGTTATGTCCCCAGCCCTTCATTATTGGTTTTTTAAATTTTATTTAATTTTTTATAAGCAGAATATATTTATTTTTCTGGTGGAACCAGGGATTGAACTCAGGCCCTTGCACTTGCCAGAGAAGCACTTATTCCACTGAGCCATCTCCCCAGCCCTAGAATATATTTATTGAGAGAAAGAAAGCTCCTGTCCTGAGAGAGGGATGGAGGGGGGCCCAAGCAGGTAGTTCTCCCCCCATTATTGTTTTATACTCAAGTCACTTGAAACTAGTTGTAGTGAAGTTATTACGTCTAAATATCTTAGTAGTCGCCTGAGAAAGATGAAATTTCATACCACAGTGCCATTATCACAGCCAAGAACAGTATTTCTATGATATCTTTTTTTTTTTTTTGGTCTTTTTGAGATAGAGTCTCACTGTGTAGTTCAGGTTGGCCTCAAACTCATGGAGATTTTCCTGCCTCAGCCTCCTAGGTACTGGGACTTACAGGCATGCACCAACATGCCCGGCATTATCTTATGTTCAATTTGTTATTTTTCCAATTGTTCCAAAACTGTTATGGCTATTTTTCTCCCCAAGCCAGAATATACAAAGTTTTATGTATTTATCTTCTGCTTTCTACTGTTTTTCTGTTCTATTTAAATTAGACTAAGGGTGTTAGGGGTGTAGCTCAGTGGTAGAGCATTAGTCCAGCACACTCAAGGCCCTAGGTTCTATCCCCTGGGCTGAAGAAGAGTTAGATCCCGGTGTTCACCCGACCCAGAAAGAGTAAGTGCTTATTCATGTGATACTGTATGGGAGGTGGGGTGGATTTCAACACCTGGCCCAGGTTGGTGGCCATAAAGCCAGCTGGTCAGAGCAGGTCCTAGGGGACTCTGTGCTTGCTGAACCCACCTGCAGGCTCTGTACAGGACTATTAACCTAAGGAACAAATATAACTCCTGGAAGGAGGGTAGAAAGGACCCCTGCCATGGACTCCCGTGCTGGGAAGGAGGCCAGCCTGCTCACTGCTGGGCTTTAGGACATGCCTCCGTGGCCCTGTGAGCAGGAACAGTTTCTCTTCCACCTTAGTTGTGTATAATTTTTTTTTTTTTTTTTAAGTATCCAAACCAAACTGGGTGTGGTGGCACATGCCTATTATTACAACACATGGGAGGCAGCTGAGGCAGGAGGATCCCCATGAGTCGCAGGCCAGCCTGGAATATGCAGTGAGATCCTGTCTCAAAAAAGCCAAGTGTCCGGGGCAGTTGTCTTGCAGAAGGTACCACCCTCTGTCTGTGAGAGTTCTTCCTTCAAGGGTGACCTCATTGTTTACAGAGTGTTCTTACCACAAAAGCTGTGTGCTAACCACAGCAATAGCTGAGGGAGTAAACGAACCCACCTCCTGCCCTTCCTTGACTGCTATCTCCTCTCCTTGGACCATCTCTCTGTCCAAGGAGATGCCAGACTGAGAATAGCCTGTGCTGTACCACGCTGGTGTGGGCCTGGGGCCACACTCGTGGGACCCAGACAAGCCCTTCAGCCTTGCCCTGTGACCTGCTTGCCCCCACAGAGCGAACGATAGCGTGTGTCCCTGGGGTGGGGATGGTGCGTAGGGGCACGGGCCTCACCCTGAGGATGTGCCCAAGAGTGCCCGTGGAGGTCGGGCTCGAAGAAGGGTCACGTGGAGTGTTCCCTGTGCAGGGTGAATTTAGGAGGGCTTTGCAGAGAACTGAGCCAAGGCAGCTGCATCCTGCATGCCAAGCTGCCATCCTGGGAGGCTGGGGCATGGCAGGGGCCCAGGGCACATGATGGGGAGGTGTGCAGGACACACGGAGGAAAGGCCAGGGCCAAGTCAGAGTTAAGAGCTTCATCTGGGAGAGGACAGCCTTGGGGTGAGGAAGAGCAGTCAAGCTAGTGGTTAACAGCAAGGACGTAAAGCTAGATGCCTGCACGTTGGCCCAGCTCTGCTGCCTCTTTTCGTGTACACTGGGCACTGAGTTGACCTCTGTCCCTCAGCGTGAAAAGACTGCTAGAGTACCAGATACATAGATATCAGGGGCCGGGGAGATGGCTCAGTAGAATAAGTGCTTGCCTGGCAAGCGCAAGGGCCTGAGTTCAAATCCCTGGTTTTGCAAAAAAAAAAAAAAGAAAAAAGAAAAGACAGATAACATAGATATGTATGCCAGGTGTTTAGCAGGGTGCCTGGTGTAGGTTAGATGCCACATAAGTATTGGCTGGTAATTACTGGAGTCCTCAGGTAGAGATTTCAGGGACAGAAGGGGGAGGAGGGCTTGGAGATCCTTCCAGAGAAGATGGGGTCCTTCAGAGTCACACAGGCAGTCTCTGACCTCTTTTCTTTTCTTTTTTTTTTTTAAATATTTATTTATATTTATTACATTTATTTATTGTGTGTGTGGCCAGCTCAGCTCACCAGGGGGCGGGGCTGGCTGGCATGTGGTGCTGGGGATCGAACCGTGGTCCCTGTGCTTTGCCAAGCTTGTTTCAAGTAGGTGCTTTAGACCACTGAGCCATCTCTCCAGCCCCTCTGACCTCTTTTCTCCCAACCCCAGATGACTTCCGAATCTTCTGTGGAGATCTGGGCAATGAGGTGAATGATGACATCTTGGCACGCGCCTTCAGCCGCTTCCCATCCTTCCTTAAGGCTAAAGTGATCCGTGACAAGCGCACGGGCAAGACCAAGGGCTATGGCTTCGTCAGCTTCAAGGACCCCAGCGACTACGTGCGCGCCATGCGGGAGATGAACGGTGAGTGAGGGCCCCCCAGGCATGGTGGGTGTGGTGGACAGCTAGCCTGCGCCTGACCTCAAACCCTCCTTCCTCACAGGGAAGTACGTGGGCTCTCGCCCCATCAAGCTCCGCAAGAGCATGTGGAAGGACCGGAACTTGGACGTAGTCCGAAAGAAGCAGAAAGAAAAGAAGAAGTTGGGCCTGAGATAGGGTCTGTGGCTGGGCACCCGCTCCCACCCGGCCGGGCGCTGGCTTCTCCCCATAGATATCTTTGGAAAACCCTCAACTGCCCACCCACCTACCCCAAAAAAGTTTCAATAAATTTACATTCATTTCCATCCCGGCTGGGCTTGGAGGCACTCCAGGGGGCTGGGGCTCCACATCCCCACTTGAGAGTGTGGGAACCTTGAGAGTTTACAGGTGGGCATTTCTGAACCCCTCTGGTGTGCCACTACTTAAAACTTAAAAGGCCAAAGATATAGCTCAGCAGCACAAGCACCTTCCTGGAAAGCACAAGGTCTTGGTTTGATTCCTTGTACCAGAAAAAACCCCTTGGAAGCATTTGCTGACTGCAGCCAGTTCTAGAGGAGGAAGGGGGTTTTGGCCAAGTAAAAGTCAAGGTTGTGTCTGGCTCCAGCCTGTGCTGGTGGCACCGAGTGGAGGGCTTTCCCCCACTTAATGCTCTCAGCCAGGCCTGGGCAGTGCTTGGAACAGGTGAGTGACGCCTGCAGTCCTGCTCCCTCAGGGACCGTGATCCACCGGCAGAACAGGCTCCACGGCCATGCCCTGCGGGGCAGGGAGGGCCTCCTGAAGGAACGTTCCGCTGTGAGAGCCAGCCTTCCCCTCTAGATCTCTTAGACTGTCTGCAGTTTCTCCACTCTGGCCAACAGCACCTGCACTTGTGTGTCTCTGTGACCGATGCCCCTGTTTCTTGTCCAGGCGTCTGGAGGTTTTTTCCCTGGCTCCAGACTTGCTTCTGCCTGGCAGCGAGGTCTGTGCAGGACCTCGACCGGCAAGCTGAGCTTAATCATCACCCTGCACATAGCAGGAAGTCCTGAGAAGCTGGGACAAGTCAGGCAGCGAGCAGGGGCTTGACGTCACAGATGTGCACCTTAGGAGAAGCCCAGAGACCGCCACCACTCATGTCTTTTGTGCTGATTCTGCCAGACAAGGGAGATGGCAGGGTGGAAGTGTGGGGAAGGGGAAGGGTCTTCCGGGGTTAAAGCCATCAAAACACTGGATGGGGGGTGCAGTGGCCCTGTGATACCAAGTCCTAGACAGAGAAAGATCGCCCATGAGGTGTCAGATTTCTGTTCCTGTTCCCCCACCCCTTTACAGCCCCTCTGACGTCACATTTTCCAGTCTGGTCAGAGGGATGAGGACCTCCTGGCAGGAAGTACCCTTCAGCCCCCAGCCTGGACCACCCCACACAGGACCTTCAAGGTCCCCTTCCCCCATCACTGGCCCTTCCTATCCCTGGCCCGCTTCTCACACCAGCCACAGGACCAGAAGTGATTTCAGAAAGGCAGCCAAAACAGTGTGTTCAGAGATGGAAAGGATGTGACACAGAGACACAGGGAAGCTCGAGTATCCATGCAGGAGGAAAGGAGAAAGGGGAAGTCCCAGATGCAGGCGGAAGAGACAAGCACTCAGGAGGGACTGGTGACAGGTTTCCCTGGCATGAAGCCTGACACAACAGGGACCCAGAGCTACAGACACCAACCAGATGAGAGGCAGATGAGAACAGACACAAGACAGCAGAAGGGCCAGCTTCAAGGGGAGGCAGCCTAGCGGGCAGCATGGGCTGGGCCTTAATTTCCTGCCTATAGATGTGTGGATGATGGACCGATGATGCCCAGCGCTCAGAGACTCAAAGCTGTGTGCAAGCCCAGCCCCAAGGGACTGACTTCCTCTTGAGATCCAGTTTCCCTTCCGTAAAATGAAGACAGCAGCACTACCCTCCACCCTCCAGAATGGCAAATAGTTTATGATCGGGGAGCTAGGTAATTATGGAAAGCATCCATAGGAAGACATTTTTAGTGGTAATTATGGACACAAGCAGTGTCTGAAGCCAGGTTGCCAGATTCAGCAAATAAAAGGACAGCTAGTTACTGAATTTCCGGTGAACAGTTTTTAGTGTTAGTATATGTCTGGAATATTGCATGTATGAACCTTTACATATATGTAAAGGAGGAGGCCAAGGTGCGAGATTCCTGGGAAAAGAGGGAGCAGCTCCAAAACCCCCTCTGCGATTCGCTTTGTTTTCTGCTAAGTCATTTGAAGCAGGTCACAAAATTATGACACTTCATCCCCAAATACGTGTTTTCTTGATGCCTTCATAGAATACCATGATCACATTTGTCACATTTCACGTTTTAAGTAATTGCATGCGTTATCTTTTTTAATTTTTTTATTTATTTTTTATTTTATTTTTTTTTTTGGCGGAACCAGGGATTGAACTCAGACACTTGGGCTTGCCAGGCAAGCGCTTATTCTACTGAGCCATCTCCCCGGCCCCTATCTTTTTTATTTTTTTAAGATAGGTTCTTGCTTCATAGGGCAGGCTGGTCTTGAACTCACAGTGATCCTCCTGCCTCAGTCTACCAAGTGCTGGGGTTATAGGTGTGCACCCCATGCCTGGCCCATGTGATACCTCATTCAGTTCATGCACAAAATCTCCCAGTTGTCCCAAACTATAGCTCAGAAATACGTGGGGCTTTGGAAAATGAAAGGGAAAGATGTTTGCCTCAATTGTCCCTCCCATGAAACGGGGGAAGGAGTTGCATCTCCCTCATAAAAGGATTGAATGAAGACCCAGTATGTGGTTCAGGGACACGCACATGACTCCTCCTGCGATGTTAGCTGTTACTACTATTTTTAGGATCTGTGTTGCTGATGTTGATCTTTTATTATAACTGACACTATTCCTGGGCAGCTCCAAAACACCCGCTGCAATGCGTTCTGGTGGGCAGGGGTGATGCAGGGTCACCCTGTTGATTGTGACGTCAGCCGTCGCTGGGGACAGGGTAGAATCTGGCCGGAAATCCCTTTTTCCTGTTGCAGATAAGCTTGGTGCAGCCGGCTGACCCCAGGCCCTCGTTGCACCTCCCATGTCGCAGGATCAAATCCTCAAAAGGGACAACCTGTCCACCGTGCCCAGCCCCCAACACCTCATAAACACACCGGGCCCCTGTCCGGCGCCTTGCCCTGGCCTGCTTTCTCCAAACCACTCCTGCACCAGGACAGCTCCCCGAGGCTGCATCCCTGAGGCTGGGGGCGCGACTCGGCTCCGCCCCGGACCTGCAACTTGACCCACGCTGCGACCCCTTGCTCTGACGTCTTGGAAAATTCCCCCCTGCCCAGGTCCCGGGGGAGGGGGTGCATGGTATGAAATGGGTCTGAGACCCCCGACTAGGGCCAGAGGAACCCGCTGGAGGTGAGCCATGAAGTGGAGACAGGATGGGTGTCTGGACGCCCGGGTTAGGAAGGAGGTGGGGGCCTGAAGGAGCAATGAAGCCCTTCGTTCCTGGTCTGAGAGAAAAAGGGGCTGGAGGTCAAGGTGCTAGATTCCTGGAAAAAGAGGGAGCAGAAACTTGGGCGCCTGAGTCTCAGGGAGGCAAGGTCTGGCACCCAGATACTGGGGTCCCTGAGGGTCACCACTCTTCAATGGCGTCTTTGACTTTTCCCTACCAGATCATTCCAAACGAGTGCCTATGGACGTGTGGAGCTGCGATGAGACCGCACCACAGGAGGTGCCCCCAGGGAACAAGCTGGCAGGGCTCGGTAGGTCCTGGGGCTGACACCACGCACAGGAAGGACGCCTGGGTGGGGCTGCTGCTGACCCCTGACCTAGCCTTAACTTTTTTTTTTTTTTTTTTTGCCTGCAGAAGGAGCCGAACTTGGCTTCTACTTCCCCGAACTGACATTCCAACCAGACACAGCAACAATCGAAACGTGCTGGAAAGGTGGCTGCCGGGCCGGGATTCTGGGGTGCTGTGGGGAGGATGGAGGCTGGGCTCCTAGATCCAAGAGAGGAGAGGGCGAGCCTGCACTCCTCGGCTGAGTAGGGGCACGCCTAAAGTTGGAGGAGGGGCCCCGGGTCCTCAGTGAGTAACTCCCTCCCCCGACAAAGACCAGAGTGGGTGGGCGATTGAAGTTCCCAGGTCCTGGCTCCCACCCTTCTTAACCTCAGCTTTGATCCTGTCCTTCGCAGGGTTCCCGGAGCTAGACTGGAGCCCCGCGATACCATATCCAGAATATGCATGGGGAGCAGGTAAGGTTGCATACAGAGACAGTGGCAGGAGAGGACTGGGTCCTGGCTTTCAATGCTCAAGCTGAAAAACGGGACAAGGAGAAGGAAGGGGTCACCTGCGTCCTCAAGGTGGCATAGTGTAGATCTGGGGGTCCTGGTTCCATAGACCTCCTAGAACTCTGGTAGGGCCCAGAGATCAAGATCTCTGGGCTCCTCTCGCTTAGGTTCGATTCTTCCTTACAGATCTCGGACCTCAGCCCCCTACGTGGTCCGGAGACTGCACAGACCTGGCAGGCACTGCCCGGGACCCTTGCAGCCTGGTCTCGCACACCCTACAGCCCGCCCTCACCGGCCCGGGCCACGCCCCCTTCTCTGGTTCTGGAGGGGCGGCGGGCCAGAACAGTGCCACCTCGTGGTCGCGGGCCCAGGCCGCCAGGAGCGCTGCGAGCTGGGACTATTCTGTCGTCCCCAACGGCGTCACCTACTGGGACAATGGCCTCTACGGGGACCCTCGCTCAGACTATACCATGTCGTGGGGCGAGCCTGCGGGTTCGGATTGTACCACCTCATGGAACCTGAGGCTGCATGCAGGTTGCAGCCTCTCTTCCAGCGGGCACCAGAGTTCAGCTCTCAACACCTCCTCCGAACCAAGGCAGCAGTCGGACCGTGCTACCTCAAATAGTTACCCCAAAGCGAACCACCGAGGTGAGAGATCCTGGAAGATCCTTAAAGGCGGGAAGTCGGCGAGATGGGGGGCGGGGGCTCGGCATCCCAGGGGGCGTGGCCCGGGAACATGGCCGGAGGGGCGGTGCATAGGTGCCTAGCGGCTAGCGAGCAGAAGGAAACCAGCCCATTTTTAACTTTTGTGCCGGGGTCTCGCTAGTCACTAAATTGCCCAAACTCGTTACACTTGCAATCCGCCAGCTTCAGTTTCCCAGGATGAGGAATTACAGGCGTGCGCCACAATCCTGGCTAAGGCTGACTCTTGGGGCCCCAAACTCGTGGATTCCCTAAGTGGGACAGAGAGATCTGGATCCCGCAAGGATCCTGGGTCCCGCAAGGATTCTGGATTCCTGGGTCCAAAGTTGGCAAGATCTGGACCTTTGAGCCTCGAGCAGAGGGAGCCCCGGCTCCCTTCGTCGGAACGGCGGCGCCTGGGTCTGGGAAACCTTGGTGTTCACTGGCTTCCACCTCGCAGGTCCCATTCAGCTGTGGCAGTTTCTCCTGGAGCTCTTGCACGACGAGGCGCGTAGCAGCTGCATCCGCTGGACTGGCAACAGCCGCGAGTTCCAGCTGTGCGACCCCAAAGAGGTGGGGCGGCTCCCCCCGCCCTCCGAATCTCGGGACGCCCCGCTGAACCTCGCCCCGCCCTTCGCTCGGCCTAGTCCTTGGCCCGCCCCCAGCCTCGCCTTCTCTAGGCTCCGCCCAAGCCCGGTCCCCTGCTGGACCCCAGCTTTGAGCAGTCCCCCCTCAGCCCAGGCCGGGTGGGCGGTGCGAGACCCAACGCCGAAGACCCCTGGGCCGGCTGTGCCCAGGCGATGTGCCCCCGCCCAGGGTAGCAACCCCTCCCCCTCGCCCTCCCTGACCCCGCCTGGCCTCCGCCCTAGGTAGCGCGGCTGTGGGGCGAGCGCAAGAGGAAGCCGGGCATGAATTATGAGAAGCTGAGCCGAGGCCTGCGTTACTACTACCGCCGCGACATTGTGCAAAAGAGCGGTGGGCGCAAGTACACATACCGCTTCGGGGACCGCGTACCTGGTTTGGCCTCTTCGGACTGTTCGAGGGTTGGGCAGGGAGCAGAGATCTAATAAAATATCCTACCAAACTCACACGTACTTGTCGGCATCCTTCCCACTGCCACGGCTCGACTAGACAGGTTGGGGAGCTTAAGTGTGCGCCCACAGTTCAGTTTGGCCTCCCCACTGGTGAGACTCATCTCGGGCATCCAGACCTGTATCTCTTTCCTCTCAAATAACCCAAGAGTCTTGATCTTTGTTTCCATGGTCCCCAGACAGTGTTCGTGTTCCCCCCTCTCAGAGGCAACCCCAGCTTCCATGGACCTGCCCCCTAAATCCTTTGGCCCTCCTCTCTGCCCCCTTCTTCCCTTCTGGATCTTCACACATCTCTGAACGAGGTGATTATTGAGGGGCAGTTAAATAGGCACCCACTTCCTACTGTGACTATACAGAACCCAGCTCCTTAGGGTTCCTGCTGTGTGCCCACCCGGTGTCCATAAAGCTTCGGTGTGTCAACCCTGTGTGGAAACTTTTAAAGGAATCAGACCTGCTAAGGGTTCAGTATGACCACCCCACACACTAAATTTATGCAGGAATTTAATCTCCAAAGTCGTCTTTATATACATTCTTTTTTTTT